ACACAAGCAACCCAATTAGGTGCAAGCTTTTATTAATTTTTCACGCAGCTACTCATACAAGACATCTTTGAGTACGTTGTGCTTCGGTGACACTTTGTTTCCGTCCTTCTCGGTTAAATAAATTTAGTCCTAATATATCCCCTCGTTCTCCGACTTTCCAATCGTCCACAGCTACACTTTTCCTCTCTACATCTCCTTGGCTCCCTCCCACTCACTCCGCTTCCATTCATGCTTGATGCAGCTTTTTCTCTTCAACCTCTCCATCTCCCTATCTACCACCTTAGCCCATATTTCTCTAGCTAGCCATAAACTTACATAAGTGATTGTACTCCTCTATTTTTGAAGACCGCGTCCCTTGTACCTCAGATATTAACGTTTATGATTCACTGCCATTCCCACTCCTAGTTCCTCACTCTTCACTGTTACATACAGCTAACTCCTCATTCCTCGTTTTATGGACTCAGAACGCATCTACAGACTAGATGTCGCAGTAATTCATGCACTCCACCAAGGGTACGGCTTCCCTACTGCAATCACTGGAAGCGAAGGAAGAGATGAAGCGAGGTCGATTGAAAAAGGCGAAATTGGACGTCTTTCCCTTTAAATTTATTGGAAAAGGTACCTAGCGAGTGACAGAAAAGTGCAGATTCTGCTTCCACTTTTACTTGCGCCTCGGTAAATTAACGTGATTGTGCTTCTGCTGCTTGCTTGTCAGATATACAAATCAGATAAAAATTAGTGTCTGACCTAATAAGAAGTGCAAAGGAGGAAATGACGGGGACACAGGGACGTAACTGATGTATGTGCATGGATATTTAAGCAGTGTGACATATTCTGCTCCCTCAGAGATGCCTCATCATTCTTTTTGATGGGTCGTAAACGTCACCCTACTCCTTCCATTGCAAATCTTTGCTCTTTGCTTTCTCCCTCACATTTTCCACAATTTCGACTTCCATCTTATCTCCTTTTTTCTATGTTCGCCTTCTTCCTTCCCTCTACCACCATCTTTGCCTTCATCCCCATTGTTCGTAGTGCTAATGCCTAGCTGATATAGGGGACTAACATCCTGCCTGTATAAATGAGTACCCATAACCAGACAAAGATAAATCAAACTTATATTAATTAAGGATTA